TGTTTGTATTGTTCTGACCTGTAAGTATATGGTCCGATTTAATGTAGTAATACGAAATGTGTTTGTATTGTTCTGACCTGTAAGTATATGGTCCGATTTAATATGGTAGTACGAAGCGAGTTTGTATTGTACTAACCTGTATGTATACGGCCCTATTTGCTCGACGCATGGTTTTTCTCCCTTCAATATCTCCTCCTTGTTGAGTACGTTGAAAAAATAATACTGCTGATAGAATGGAATGGGAATATCCCTCCAGAACGGATAGAAGCTTGAATCGGGATCCAATGACATTAGCTGTAAATACAACGGAACACGTCTCAAATTTGTGTAAAATTTGTGACAATATGGTTTGTTCACTTGTGAATATTGTTTGATAGTCATTGCATGAATATTTCTGAAGTCATAAGGGCGGCAATCGTCGTGCCGCGTCCTGTTCGATATGGGACTCATAGCGACGTATACAACGCGTGTACAAACATTGTTTATTTACATAAAATTCGAACACGCGCCGTGACGACCACCGCGCTTTAAGCGAAAATTTGCCTGCAAACATTTTGGTCAAGCCCATGCAACTGAACGCCATGTTGACCCAGTCGACGATACTGCAATTGTATTGCTGTAGGAAAAATCAACAAATACCGGGCCAGCGTCTTACCTCGTAGATCTGTATGTGTTCTAGTCGTTCCATTGCAAGAGGGAGAACAGCGGCACCAATAAACAAAAGAACAGCGAAACCAATGACACACGCTTTGCAACATCTTTTCGACATGGTTATGTATCAATGTAGTGACGTAAAGATTACCGTACCTCTATAAAGAATGGTCCTTCGATAGCCTATGAGTGTCTGAAAAAATCAAGCTCGTACATGCAGTGATGTCATTTCCAGGACGTAAACAAAATACAAGATAAGTAAACCAATTGTTTCATGCTGAGTGATTGTCAGTTGGCCAGGTCTGCATGAAAACACACCTATTTGTGAAGGTGTCATTTTCGAGAGAGTCTCACTGTAGTAAACAGCTCATGCCAAGCTCTGGTAAAGCCGTGTTTTCCTTTTACAGGTCGAAAAGTAGTGTACGAGTTGAGATTATTTTGACGAATAAAAGTCAAAAACACGAACCGGCTAAAAGTCGCTCTCTGCTAAGCTTGAATAATTCAATGCTGCCAAACAACGTAATTTGGGTTGAACCGCTAAAACAGTGCGCGTCATCTAATCTTCACAAACATTTACACAGTTCCTAATGCGTTGATCATTATCACATAACAAAACAAATGAAAATGAAAATCGTATTCGCAAATTTAAAAAGTCGCCACAGACAGTAGAAGCTAGAAGTACCCCGAGCTATTTTAAAGGAAAACTGTCTTTAGTATTGTTTACTGATATATTCAGGGTGTGGGTACGTGGTGGTCTAAGCCGTGGCATCGTAGTTCAGCGATACGAGGATGGCATACTACCTAACAGATTACGTATTAGCTCCGTTATTACCTTCAATAAACAATCTCCAGGGACAAGTGAATTGGGCAGTCTTTTCGTTATGGACAGTGCATGGAGGTAAAAAGAGACTTTTTACTTCCATGGACAGTGTGATGATTACGGTGAAATGTCCATTTGAATGAATCTACTATGCAGTATTTGAAATCTCGTCTTCCCCGAGAGGTATGGTGTTAATTTATCTTACACCATCAAGGAAACAATAAGTGATTGAGTGGTGACTACAAGTATTCGTGACGCTAGTCGAGGCTTCGTTTGAATGCTAATTTTCTTAACGTTTGCATATTAAACCCAAGGTACAGCGCACAACGCTAGGGCTCGACAATCCATGAACTAGTATTAAATAACTTGAACTTCAATTTAACTAATGTCTGCGATGGCTATGCCATGGTGAACATTTTCAAACTAACCTTGAGTGCACGTGGTTGGTGTCCTCCAGATTGTTGTCACTTGTTCACTAGTTCGGAGATACCACTAAGTTGTCGTAGTTATGTGGTGCAGCAAAGACACTCAGAGTGTCTTTGGGTGCAGCAAGTGTCGTCGTTGACGTAACCTTCACAGTTTGACAATTCACTTAATCCAGAACAATAAGTGCCCGTCAAAGACAAACACTAAAAACAGTGAAGGTTTCATGTCATTCAAATATGGAGGTGTAAATAGATTATTTCAGCCTTCCTAGTTCTATGGAATACTGCAATTCTCAGTGTATATAGAAAGGTCATATCATGGGATGCACAAGTCTCGGAAAGACTCAAAATATCAAATATTTGCCACAAACCCACATAAATATGAATCCATGTATAACTATTCGTTGTTTTTCCTATTACATGTTTGACCTTTAGTTTCTATAGTCTCGGTACAATGGGATAGTCTAAACAATCGGTGTGTCAATTTACTGTTTTGAAACTAACAATTCACGTCACGGTGGAGACCAGGGGCTCGACGATGTAAGCATGACTGGCTAGGCTGTTAACAAAAAACACGAGCGTACAAGAATCGCCAATGATAAAGCAAGACGTAGGTCTATGATAGCGCCTTGAACAGTCGATACTAGACTGGCGCAGTCGGGGCGATTAATTTGTTTTTGTAGTTTAAATAAAAT